CAATCCAACACACCTGCAACAGCCGTCGCCATCTTTGGCTTTGAATACCGTGAAAAATGTCCCTTTTAAAAGGGAAGAGAACTCGAGTCATCCGACCGGTCCAGCACCGCGGCCGGGCCATCCGCCCGGGCAAAGCAGAATCTCCCTCTAGCATCAGCGCAGAGGAAGGAGAAGAACAGTAGCAGCAAATTATACCGACAAGGAAGAAGAAGGGTATTTGTCTCCCTGCATCCAACGCCCATCTGAGGACCCAAACGACCAGTGCCAATGAACCTCCAGTCACCATAGCCCGCGACCTCGACGAGATCCGTGGATCCCCCACCCCGCTGGCTCCTAGACGAAGGCAAAAGCCTCGCCTGACCGCGAACGGAGCCCGGAGAAATTTATTCCGACGCGACACCACCACAACGGCCTCGGCAGCGTCACCCTCACAACCCTAACCCTACCATACACCCACCTAGCGGACAGACCCGGGGTTCCCTCTACCTCCTGCCGCCTGAGCGGCCGACGGAGAGAGAGGGAACCGGCGGCCCCACCGGCGGCGCGCAAGGGAACTGGCCTCGTCGCCTCCTTTGATCGCCCGCGTGATCCTACTTTACCGGGTAAAAAATATTATTTTTCTTATCTTAGTTATTAAACGGTAGTACTCCTACGTGTCTAGTATATAAGGAAAGGCCAAACGCAAAGAACTCGTCTAAGCCTTTCTGTTGGCTTATTACTTTTACCACCAACGTTTTTCGTCACCTGGGAGTACCTCGTAGTTGCCATCGGCTACTTTGTCTAACCTGCAATGCAAAATCATATGTCTTTACCCATGCAGCATATTCTTCTTCCGATTACAAAAAGATGCCCGTGAAAAGGGACATCGAGTAGATGAGCTCGAGCTCACAGGCTCTCGGATGAACAGTAAAATTAAAATTTGAAAATTCTGATTTTTTTTGCCAACATGTGTGCGGATTTCAGGATGTGATTTTCTTTTAAAACATTGCTCGCTAGATTTCGACACTCCCTCACATCTCGTGGGTCGCTCTTGCGACTCACGAGGCGACTGCCGCCCGCGGCGGTAGTGGGGCGCTCTCTCCATCTCCTTCTCCCCTCTCCTGCCCCTCAGGCGTTCTTCCTCTCCCCGACCGGTGCAGCACACCAAATCCCGCCCCTACGTCCCTCCCCTGACCTAGAGGGCCGTGGCCTTACTTGGTGGCAGCACGGCCCTCGACATGAGTGGGGGTGGCGCGGGCTGCTACCCTTGGAGCCTGGTGGCGCGGATCCGCGCATATGGCGGGCGGGCTTAGGTGGTGTCCCAGGTGACGCCGGTTGTCGGATCCCGCTAGCTTCGGCGTGCTACCCCCGATCCGATGGAGTTTGTGGGCATGGCCCTCCTCTTGTTGGTGGCCCATGTGTTTGCTTGTTCGGGACGCCCAACAGCTCAAATATAGGGTTTGCCTCCGTGCGGGTGAAAGGTGTCAGCTTTGGGTTAGGGGTGGCGGAGTTGCGCCAGCATGGCGACCTGTTGCGTGCTTCTGGTCCACTGTCATGTGTGTGGTGGGTGAGGGTGGATCCCCTCGGTTACTAGAGCCACAGGTCCACACGATGGGCACGACGACACCATTCCAGCGGGTGTCGCTGTGAGGGGTGCTCTCGTGTTAACTTGGTCGTGTGGGCGGTGAGGTGGCTCATTCTGGGGGTGTCCATCATGTGGGTGTGGTCTTTGCTGCCACCAGGCTATTTCGGGCGTTGTGTGCAACTTTCCTTAGTCGACCATGGTTGTTGGGGGTTGAGTCCCAAGCGAAAGAGCTGCACTGTTGGAAATATGCCCTAGAGGCAATAATAAAAGGATTATTATTATATTTCCTTGTTCATGATAATTGTATTTTATTCATGCTATAATTGTATTATTCGGAAATCGTAATACACGTGAGAATACATAGACCACAATATGTCCCTAGTGAGCCTCTAGTTGACTAGCTCGTTGATCAACAGATAGTCATGGTTTCCTGACTATGGACATTGGATCTCATTGATAACGAGATCACATCATTAGGAGAATGATGTGATGGACAAGACCCAATGCTAAGGATAGCACAAGATCGTGTAGTTCGTTTGCTAGAGCTTTTCCAATGTCAAGTATCTTTTCCTTAGACCATGAGATCGTGTAACTCCCGGATACCGTAGGAGTGCTTTGGGTGTACCAAACGTCACAATGTAACTAGGTGACTATAAAGGTATACTACGGGTATCTCCGAAAGTGTCTGTTGGGTTGACACGGATCGAGACTGGGATTTGTCACTCCGTATGACGGAGAGGTATCTCTGGGCCCACTCGGTAATGCATCATCATAATAAGCTCAAAGTGACCAAGTGTCTGGTCACGGGATCATGCATTGCGGTACGAGTAAAGTGACTTGCCGGTAACGAGATTGAATGAGGTATTGGGATACCAACGATCGAATCTCGGGCAAGTAACATACCGATTGACAAAGAGAAATTGTATACAGGGTTGCTTGAATCCTCGACATCGTGGTTCATCCGATGAGATCATCGAGGAGCATGTCGGAGCCAACATGGGTATCCAGATCCCGCTGTTGGTTATTGACCGGAGAGCCGTCTCGGTCATGTCTACGTGTCTCCCGAACCCGTAGGGTCTACACACTTAAGGTTCAGTGACGCTAGGGTTGTAAAGATATTTGTATGCAGCAAACCAAAAGTTGTTCGGAGTCCCGGATGAGATCCCAGACGTCACGAGGAGTTCCGGAATGGTCTGGAGGTAAAGAATTATATATGGGAAGTCGAGTTTCGGCCATTGAGAAAGTTTCGGGGGTCACCGGTATTGTACCGGGACCACTGGAAGGGTCCCGGGGGTCCACCGGGTGGGGCCACCCATCCCGAAGGGCCCCATGGGCTGAAGTGGGAGGGGAACCAGCCAGTGGGAGGGGAACCAGCCCATGGTGGGCTGGTGCGCCCCCCTTGGCCCCCCCCTGTGCCTAGGGTTGGGAACCCTAGGGGAGGGGGCGCCTCCACTTGCCTTGGAGGGGGGGGGGCAAGGCACCCCCCTTGGCCGCCGCCCCCTAGGAGATCCATCTCCTAGGGCTGGCGCCCCCCTGGGGACCCTATATATAGAGGGGGGAGGAAGGGCAGCCTTACCTTTGCACTTGGCGCCTCCCTTCCCCCTTGCCACACCTCTCCCTCCCGCAGACGCTTGGCGAAGCCCTGGCGGGATCCCTGCTGCATCCACCACCACGCCGTCATGCTACTGGATCTTCATCAACCTCTCCTTCGCCCTTGCTGGATCAAGAAGGAGAAGACGTCACGCTGACCGTACGTGTGTTGAACGCGGAGGTGCCATTCGTTCGCCGCTAGGATCTCCGGTGATTTGGATCACGACGAGTACGACTCCCTCAACCCCGTTCTCTTGAACGCTTCCGCTCGATCTACAAGGGTATGTAGATGCACTCCTCTCTCTCGTTGCTAGATGAACTCATAGATTGATCTTGGTGAAACCGTAGATTTTTTTTATTTTCTGCAACGTTCCCCAACATGCACGACCGTGTCGGTGCCGGTGATAGCGATACTGTTGTGTGCCGTTTCCTTCCTAGAGGTGTCATCGTTGGTGACCCATTCACCATGGGCCCTGTGTGAAAACCATTGGTCTGGCTGGTTCTAGACTAGATGGCGACAACATTGTGGCGTCGTGTCCTCCTTGGAGGCTCCGTCTTGTGAGCAAGGTCCTAGGTTGCTTTTTGCTAGGGTGAGTTTCATGAATGATTGCATCTTCTCATCATGTGTCGGGTCCTGCCTCAGTGGTGGTGCGCTCATGCGGAGCTAGGTTCGGCGAGGTAGTTGTGCTCGAAGACCCCTTTGTTGTCTTGGGCCTTGTCTCCATCCGCGTTCTAGGGTGCTGAACACTCCATCGCCCGATGATGCGGTGCCTCTCGAGCCGGGGCGAGGAGCCGGGGGTCCTTCTGGCGATGGAATGAGATGGCGTTGGTCAGTTGGGCGCCCATGCGATGGCATTGGCATAACCCCCTCTGTCTGTTGATCTCCTTCTGGAGCCGGCTTCATTCGCATCATCGGTCCTTCGACATGTCTGACGGCTCAAGTGTCTTGCTTTCTTACTTTTTGAGCTTTGTTGCTGCTCCTGGGCACCATGTATCTTGAAGGAGCTCTTTCTTTTTGCTTTGTACTTTTGTGTTGTGTTGTACTGTTTGTTGTAAAAGCGTCATTAATTTAAAATCAGACACCAATCCTCTTTCTAAAAAAGTTCCGGATGTAATCACATTTTTGAATTTGCAGGATTGGATGGAGTATTATGTTTGAGGTGATTTGTACTTTTTTGTGGGAAAAATCCAATCTATTCATCTTCAATCATGGGAGTACAACAAACACTAGAAATAATAATAAAAAATACTTTTGATAGTGAACTTTTATACGTAATAGATTTGTATCTTTAAAAAAAATTAATAGGTGGAAGCTCAAAAGAATATATTAATATGAAGAAAGCCTCTCTTGTGTGGATTTTATTTTAGTGCCTCCGTTTCTAAATATATAAGCCCTTTTACGGGTTTCACTATGGAGACTACATTCAGATGTATATAGTCGTCTTTTAAGTATATTTTCATCCGTTTTGCTCCATATGTACTGTGTACTCTATAGTGGAACCTCTAAAATGACTTATATTTAGAACGGAGGGAGTATGTCTTCTTTTTCTCACATGTTGTGTGGATTTTGTTTGCACTATGGTATGGTGGCGGAGAAGAAGATACCGTGGAGAGATGCCTCCAAGGCCCGGGCGACAGATTCCGTTACGGCAGCCTCCAAAACCCGGCGAGTCGCCGTCGTCGTCGTCGTCGCCGCCTCGTATCCGTTAGCAACAACAACAGACGGAGCACCCAACCCCACGTCCCCCCCTCCTCTTCCCTCCACTCTCCGCCCTCCACGCACCTCACCTCATCCCCTCTCCCTCCCTCTCTCCCCCCTGCCCCGCCACGGCGGCAGCGCCCGCCCATGCCGCTGCCGCTGCACCCCTGCTGCGCCGCCGTCGTCGCGGCGACGCCCGCCATGGCCACCACCGCCGGCAGCGGCGGCACCATCTCGCCGTCCACTGCCGCCGCCCCGCCGCCCCGGTACCTCGGCTCCGGCCAGGGCCGGCTCCGCCTCGCGCCGGCAGCCAGCCGGCGTAACAGGCCGCTCCTCCGCTGCTCCGCGTCCGGCGGCGACGGGCCCGACAAGGTTCTTGAGAAGCGCCGGGCCGAGCTCGCCGCCCGCATTTCCTCCGGCGAGTTCACCGCCCAGGGCCCCGGGTCAGTCAGTTCCCCCCGGCCAATCCCTTATCCCCCCCTCCGCGCATTTCTTTCCCCTCGTGCAGCTCCGGTGCTGATTGGATCAGGCGCGGTGCTTGAATTGCTCTGTCCAGATGGCTCGCGCCCGTCGCGGCAAGGCTCGCCAAGCTCGGCCCGCCGGGGGAGCTCGCGGCCGGGCTGCTCACCAAGGTAGCGGGCGGCGCGGCGCGCAGGGGCCCGGGGCTGCCGCAGGCGGTCGGGTCGCTGGCTTCCGTCGCCGGGGAGGCCTTCTTCCTGCCGCTCTACGACCTCTTCCTCACCTACGGCGGCGTCTTCCGCCTCAACTTTGGGCCCAAGGTGAGCGAGTCATCCATCGAATTGCCCCCAAAATTGCTGCCTTTTGAACCATGTCATGTTGCTAATGGTCTGTACATTTCTTCTTCTTTTACCTCCAGTCTTTCCTCATCGTCTCTGATCCGGATGTAGCTAAGCATATCCTGAGGGACAACTCCAAGGCTTATTCCAAGGTTTGGTTCTGAATTTGGTTCTAGTCATTTCCAAACAGTAAAGAAATGTTTCAAAAGGCTTCAGAAATGAGCAGCATGATGTTTGATTCAGTCCTGGTCTGATCATGGTGGGTGCAGGGTATCCTTGCGGAGATACTGGAGTTTGTGATGGGCACAGGTCTGATCCCAGCTGATGGGGAGGTCTGGCGTGTTCGACGGCGTGCCATTGTACCAGCATTGCATCAGAAGGTTCTAACTTTCTGATTACCATATCAATGTTTTGTGTTTATTGTTTTCCTATCAGTGTAACTAACTTTACTCACCTGAATAATGTGTTCGGCAGTACGTGACAGCGATGATAGGTCTCTTCGGAAACGCTTCAGGCCGGCTCTGCCAGAAGCTGGACAAGGCGGCTTCGGACGGGGAAGATGTGGAGATGGAATCTCTCTTCTCTCGACTAACGCTGGATGTCATCGGGAAGGCAGTGTTCAATTATGATTTTGATTCATTATCCTACGATAATGGAATAGTTGAGGTTATTGCTCAGATTTTGTCGTATTCCTGAGTACATTACGAAATTTCATTTGCTTATGTTTTCTGTCAACTTTACTTATTCGGTTTGCTGGTTCATCATCAGGCTGTGTATGTAACATTACGGGAAGCAGAAATGCGGAGTACATCTCCTATCCCAACTTGGGAAATACCCATATGGAAAGACATCTCCCCTCGGCAAAGGAAGGTCAATGAAGCTCTCGCACTGATAAATAATATTCTCGATGAACTAATTGCTACTTGCAAGGTAAGCCTTCTCTTATACTTTGACATTAGCAAATAGTAATTATTGTGTTTAGAAAAATCATGACATGGGACAATTACTGCAGAGGATGGTAGATGAAGAAGATCTGCAGTTTCATGAGGAATACATGAATGAGAAAGATCCTAGTATTCTTCACTTCCTATTGGCATCTGGAGATGATGTATGGCACATCTGCACTGACAAAGTCTTTTAGATATTTTTACCTGCTGATATTCACATTGCACCATTGTTCAATCCATCTATCTTAGGTGTCCAGCAAGCAGCTCCGTGACGATCTGATGACAATGCTCATAGCTGGCCATGAGACCTCTGCAGCAGTCTTGACTTGGACATTTTATCTTCTGTCTAAGGTGTGATACTGCCAATAACTGAAAACTCAATGCTATAGTAGTATAACAATGCCAAATGATAATGTGTCGTTCATCATTTTCATATTCATCAAGCCATCAATATTGGTACTTATTCTCACTGTGTTATCTATTGCTAACTTGCAGTATCCGAATGTAATGTCCAAGCTCCAAGCTGAGGTAGACTCAACTTTTATCCTTAATGTGGTTTTCCTATGGAGGTTCACACTTCTGAATCGTACAAATGCCAATTGACTTTTCTTTGCTCAATTATCCACAGGCTGATGCTGTTCTAGGAGATGGTTTACCAACAATTGATGATGTGAAGAAACTTAAGTATACTACTCGAGTTATTAATGAAGTAAGTACCAAAAAGTGTTACCTTGACACATAATGAGTTTCGTCACTGAATGATAACATTGCTGTTTTTGCAGTCTTTGAGATTATATCCACAGCCGCCAGTTTTGATTCGCCGTTCCCTTGAGGATGATATGCTAGGGGAGTACCCAATCGGCAAGTAAGTATTTTACAGCAGAATTCCATCTGTCAAGTCACTAAAGAAAAGGCCAGCTTAGAGTCTAGTCAAGTTTAAGGGGTAAGGGCTGTTCATTAGTTTGTCAGAAAACCACCTTGATTACCATGGGAGTTCGGCTCTTTTTGTCTTATTTGGGCTTTTCCACATCCTTTCCCTTAAATACTTGTGCGAGTAATATATTAGCATAGGGTATTGCAGCATTTTCCCAATCTTGTGCAGACTATTTTACTCAACATATTCTGTTTTCTGCTTTGTCCTTATGTTGCTGCTGGTAGCCATGTTTGTTTAGTTGTTGCTGTTGGGTATTTATATATGTGATACTGATTTCCATGGAAAGCTAAACTTTTCATAGTTCTGAAAATATATATTGTTCTTTTCAAGGGGAGAAGACATTTTTATATCCATCTGGAACCTTCATCGCTGCCCAAAGCATTGGGATGACGCGGATGTTTTCAATCCAGAAAGGTGGCCTTTGGACGGACCGAACCCAAATGAGACAAACCAAAAATTCAGGTTCCATCCCTATTACTGTAATATAAAACGCTTTTGGGTAAACCATGTGTCACTCTGGTTATCAAGTTCATTAGTTGTTTCTACTTTCTGTTGCAAGAATTAACCTTTGAAAGTTTGAATATGCTTAATTGCTCATTATAGCTATATTTCTTCTTCTTGCCGAAGATTTATTTTTAGAGAATGTGTCAGAAAAAAAACCTTTAGATCAAATGAGTGAATGATCAAAGTTGGTCATCGAATACACAATCCTGTTGATTTTATTTTCTACTATGATGAACCTGCCACATGTGAGTCTTATTAATTAAGATAACCAACTACTTATTCTGACATATGAAGCAGCTCCATAACAGATGTCCTCAGATTGTTGCAGTCAAACTTTTCAGCCAGTGATAGTTATAAAATTATTTCTATTTGCCATTTGCAGTTGATATTAGTAGATTCATCATCAAAAGTGCTTCCAAGTTAATATATATTTTATTAACATATAGTTAGAAAAATGTGTCAAATGTATGTATAGGAGACCGTGTCGATACCAATACTATATTTACTTTTCTGTAGCAGTGGCACACTAGTACATAGCCACAACCCTATGATTTGCACAAGGTATTTGGACAGTAACATGGAATATAGTTAGGTGGATCTTATTGAGGGTGAACATGATGCAGAGATAAATGAGATGAATATTAAACTGCTACTCCAATGAGCAACAGGAAATCACACTTCTGATCAAACAAAGCAGCAATTATTTTTCACCTTAAGATTTTACCAAAAGCAAGGAGCCATCACACTTACATATCCTCTGTTGAATTTTTTATGACTGTTGTTGCTTTATGAGTGTCCCAGAAAAGATTCTTCCAATAAACATAGGATATTATAAAGAAAAATGTATTAGAAATTGTATCTTTTTATAGATTGGATATTGCCTTAACGGGAGATATATTAATGGGGTTATATATATACGGGAGATATATTAATGGGGTTATATATATTATTTAGTGTTATGGGTGATAATTTATAATGCTCAATGGGTGCATTTCTAAGAGTATGGACTATGTGGTATCTTCAGCTGCAATGAATCTAACAATTTGAAATATTATGGTGGGTTGGTGCAATGACATATTGGTTGATAAAGAAGTGATGAGTCACCATTTAGTAGATAAAAGTCGTCTTCTAAGCATACCATTGAAACTCGAAATTAGTAATAGATAAATAAATATGCAACAAAGTTATGTTCTTGTGTTGTTTAGTTTTTGCTTCTCTGTATTGCCATGTTCTGTTACATACATCAGAACCATTATAACGTTGTGATCCTAGTTGCCACTGTCGAACTCTTAAAGATCCATTGTGTGACTGTGGTTGCTTTCCTTCTTAAGAATAGTGGTGGCATCTGCTTGCTACACTGTTTAATTAATGCCTAGCAAACCTGCTTTAAGTTATAACTCACTTGTATTCATATAATCTTGTTGAATTTTCAGTTACTTGCCATTTGGTGGCGGACCAAGGAAATGTGTAGGTGATATGTTTGCTACTTTTGAGGTAATCCATTTTGATTATTTGGGGTTTCAGCTGATAATATTGAAATAGCATTTTGCGATTTCATGAACTTTGCTGGTAATTACTAATTTGATTTAGTCGTATTAAGGCCTTCTTTCTTTCGGCTTCTTGGGATATTAGACTGTTTTTTTTTTGTGAAAACAAAGATTTGTTGCTATCCCAGCCTATGCGCTACGAGGATGCACTGCCTAGTCATTTCTTCCTTGACTATTGGGAGAATCACTGACATTCTGCAATTTCTGTGCAGACTGTGGTGGCAACAGCAATGCTTGTCAAGCGATTTGATTTTCAGATGGCTCCAGGAGCACCTCCGGTATGTTTCCCACCAGCTTTCTGATTCATCATAGCTGATAAAATATATTTATCATAGCTCTATTGTAGGTCGAGATGACAACCGGAGCAACGATTCACACAACTAAGGGACTGAACATGACTGTTACTCGGAGGATAAAGCCACCTGTAATTCCAAACTTAGAGATGAAAATTGTTTCCGATTCAGAAGGAAGCACAAGTTCTACTGCGTCAGTGGCTGTTTCTACTGCTAGTATTACATCCGGAGAAGGTCAACAAGTAGAGGTGTCGACAAGTCAAGTGTGATTTATCATTTTTGATGCTCAGATTGCAATGAGATACATAATGAGTACGTTCTCATCTCAGTTCAACTTGGAAATTTAAATAGTTATAGTTTCTTCACATTTGAATTGGTTATATTCTCTGGTATGGGCGTTCATTGGCCTTTTCACCTCCTTTCTCTTGCATTGTCCTGCTGTAGTTTTCGTATAGCACACTTCATTTACCTGAAGTGCTCAAAGATGATGTATGTCCAATAAATAAAGGCACCGCTTTTTCTTCAAAAAAATGAAGTGCTCAAAGGCATAGTCCTCGTCTGTTGAGTGTCTAGGGCAAAGGAACTTTGTTTGCACTTCTCGTTGTTAATCATGAAGTCATATATTTTATTTAGTAAATTACATCGTGCTATACATCTTTGGTGATAAAACTGTTGTACTGCTTCTGTAAACCGTATGCTATACCATCATTGTCTATGAACACGCGTGGCTGCACCTAATTAAATTTCATGATCAATTTAGGCAAGTCCTTTTTCAAAGCATATTGCCTCCATTCTTCTGATACATTATTATGATTTTTAGTCAATCTTACTGTGGAATGTGGAAGTCATTGCTCATGGAAACATTTTTCATGCGCAGATACCAGATACGGTACATAACAGACCAGAAGCTTCCGGGCGTGCTTCTTTACAAGGAAAAGCTCTCCTAAAAGTTCCCAGGCTTATTTTTGCGATACAGGCTACAACACTTTTACAGACTATAGATCTGCCTGCTACTCAAAAGCACCGCGGACACACATATTTACAGATCCACAAGTACCGGGCATGGACTCCTGCATCTCTAAAACTTCAGCATGGCCTCCAACGCGCGAAGAACGTCGTCGCGGGTAACTATACCTGTTAGCAGTGTTTAGAATATCCTGTTAAGCTTGAAAACATAATCCAAACAATAGTTGATGTTAAGGGGATGATACAGATCTACTCCCTCCGTCCCATAATATAAGAGCGTTTTTGACATTACATTAGTGTAAAAAACGCTCTTATATTATGGGACGGGGGGTGTAGTATATATAAGTCCTTTACTGCTGGTTTTGTCGTGTTTTCTGTTACTCACCTATTACTTGATTGTCCTGGTTTACTATCGGTAATCTGTGGATCTTCTTCTTGAGCATCAGAGCTGCGGCATCTGTTGGCATCACATGTGTGTACGGTTAATTAACTGGAAACTAATATGGGGGAAAATGATGAGTGGAAACAACAATTACCGGTCACTGTTTTATCGCATGATAGCGTGATTGCTGGAGATGTCATCACATCTGCAATCTTCGTCTTTGGCTGTTACAACAAATAGGAACTAGATTAGCAAACACAAGATGGTGATATTGAGGTAGCAACTTGTGTATGTGGGTGTGGGTGTGTGTTCTTTTTCTGTCTTTTTCTTCTTCTTGTGTCGGACCCGAAAGGCGGCAAGAGTTGTGTGTAAAACAGATGAAGAGAGAAGGGGGAGGAGCTGAGCTGACCCCATGTGAAGCCCTCGCGCGATCGCTCTTCACGACGACCCCGACGCATCTGCGAGCGCTGTCGACAACCGGGAGGCCTGACACGAGCTGAAAGTGGCCTTCAACCTCCACCAGCGCCTGCTCCGCTGTGACCATCAGCACGGGCGTCGACATGGCCTCGCGCAGGAGCGGCCCCCGCTGCTGCAACCAACCAAGCAACAAGGTTCAAAGTCAAGCAAGGGATCAAGAAGAAGAAGCACCATCAAGAGAGGAGATGACAGAGACTACAAGATCAGCAGGAAGAAGCAGCATCAAGAGAGGACATGGCCAGAGACTACAAAGATCAGCAAGAAGAAGCACCTGATCGGCAGCGTGGGAAGGTGGCTGCTGCTGCTGCTGCTGCTGGGACTGGAGGTAGGCGCGGAGGTCGTCGTAGCTGAGGAGGGAGAAGTTCTCGGGCCACTCGCCGGAGATGATGGCGTCGGGGTTCTCGTCGAGCCCGAGCCGGAGCCCGCTCCCGTCCATGAACGTGGACGCCCGGCACCCGAAGCTCCCTGCGCCGGTGGCTTTGCCCCTTCTGGCCTCAGCCTTGGCCCCTTTGAACATGGAGCAGCTCTGCAAGGTATTGATGCACGCCATGGATGCTACTCTTCCTTGTCTCGTGTGGTGGATGTTGTCTGACTGTGTTCTCTTGCAGATCCCAGCAGGAGGGCTCCATTTATAGGGAGTGAAGCTGGAGGCGCTGGGATCGCTCCATGCCCATTGTCAGTGAGCTGAGCTGGATGGGCATGCTTGCATGGGGAGGGAGGGGCTGGCCCACCGGTGAGTGAGCGACTGGTGCTGCTGAGATCCCACTTTGACTTGACGACTGATGAGTGTGCTGACAGATAAATATCTGTGTGATCAGTGAGCTTCAGCCAAGGTAGGTAGGTAGAATCATGGCGGTGAATTCCTTGGGAGAAAGGGTGGTTGATCATGGCGTTTTTAACCCCTGGGCTGGGGTGGTAATTCATGGAGGATCTGGATGTGCACCTGACTCTGAATGTGATGACAAGTTGGATCTGGACTGGGCGTGTTTTTGTCCCAGCCCGGAATCTCTGGTCCTCGGATGTGGATTGACGTGGAGTTTCCCGGACACGCGGTGCTTCCACTGGGAACGGCGGCCCGCCGGAGCGGGGCCCGGCGGCCGGCGTGGCGGGGCGCGAGTGGCCGGCGGGATTCCCGTGGGGCCCGGTCACGTGGCACCGGATAAGGATGGAGGAGTGCCGACCCTTCACTCCCTCCGGCCGGTACGGTTGGCGGAGAGCCGGAGGTCGACGTTGCATGCCGTTTTCTTCCGCCAACTCCGGCCAGTGGGTTGGGCTGTCGCCGTGCGGGCCGGGCATGCTGACCTGTCGGAGCCGGAAGGGACGATGAATGAGCCCGCGGTTTCGCGTGAATGAATCTGCGGCGGAAGCTGGCGAGAGAGAGAGAGGATCCAGCGCTCCAAAACGGGGCTGGAAGATCATGCTGCGCAGAATCTCCCATCCCTGGCAACGATGCAGCTCGTGGATTGCGGGCCTTCAAGCCCAATAACGTGGTGAAGTTGTTAACCCTAGTTGACTCTAGGCAGGCCCAGGCCGCACACGTGGCAATGGATATGGATCATCACTCTATCCATGTGTTTATATGTTGTGGTATGGAGGTACATACGAACATAGCCACCCATTTATTTCAATGCATGTCCATGCTTGTTCTGGCTTGCCTCTGTTCCAAGCTAGAGGAACTATCAACTTAGAGGTAGATTATAGTCAAGAAGAAGATGATATATGTTTTCTCATCTATGTTCCTCTGTATTGTCATTGTCAGGGTGCAACTTAACAAAACACCATTTGTTCCAGTTGTGAGAATTGATCGATCGATTACAAGCCCAGTGATTGTGAAACAACAACTTTCTTAGTGAACAAACCGATAAAATCAAGATACATACATGATATATTGGATACAGAAAACAACAAGACCCATTTTTGTTTTAAAATGAGAACATGAAGAAGGTAAGGTGGCTATGGATATATATGGTGAGTGTTCATTTCATGTGAGCATGCTTGGCTGTGCAACGAGCTGGAGAAGTTTGGGATCCTGTAGATGTACCAGAGAGTGTGCTCGGAGGTGTATCGGGTGAGCGGGTCGCCGTCTGGTCCGCCCTCACCCCTTCACAATATCATCCACCCATAGGATGCCACCTTCGGCATTATGGGCGTCTTCGCCCAACTTCATGCACCGTTGGCCTAGATTCGGGGAGACGACATGTACCATGGCCTACAAAAATAGTAGAGACCCAAATTACCATTGGTTCAGAAACAAATGTTTGTCAAATTTCATAAGGCCTTGTACAATGCGAGGTGCTTAGGGATGCATTTAGAGAAATAAACAAGCATTTCTTAAGCACTGGTGCTTAAGAAAAACTTAGATCATTTTACTAGACACTTTTGCATTGTACAAGGCCTAAAAAGAACAAAAAAATGAAATGGTTGGTCATATGGATACACCCTCATGTGAATCAAGGGTGCAGAAGTTGGTTGAGATATTTTGCTGGATTGGGAGGCGCGCCATCCGGAAGTTACCACTAGTACATAGCATGGCTAATGAAGGATCGACATGCGCTAAACGTCAGGGGGAGGGGGCAGGAGTGAGTAGGTGGCTACCAAATTTAATTTTTTCTTAGTTGTTTTCATAGGCTAATGTGGAATTGTAAGTTCTCTAGATATGCAAGTAGGTGATACACTCTATATGATGAGTTACAACATGCTAGCAAGCTACACAAGGCAACAAACAATCAGGTACTAAGTAAAGCTAGGTTCAGAGACAACCAAAAGTGATGGAGACGAAGATGTAATCTGAAGTTCACACTCTTGGGGGAGTGCTAACCTCCAGCGGAGAGCCGGGAAACAATGAATGCTCTCATATCAACGAATGTCTCACCTTAGTTTTCGAGAACCTTGGTCAACGAATGTCCAAGTTCCCTCTCACTAGGGGTAGCTCTTGGGTGAGCTCCCAACCTTCACAAATGAGCTCGGGGCACAACCACATGAATTAAAAGCTAAGGTGTGCCCGGATAATTGACTCTTGATTTGGTGGATCATCGTTTGTGCTTCGGTGTGTTTCGATGGCGGTGTTTGATATCACATGGTCAATTTATTTTAGATAGATTCACTTGTTTTTATCTACCAGTCTTATTATCTGATAGTAAAGTGGTGAAGTAATAGTTTGATAACGTGTCTTTCATGAGTTATTTGTCCTCGAATCCCTGATCTTAAGTCATCATGGGGTGAATTGCTCTTGGCAATCTTTGAGGTTTACTCGTTTTATGCAAGTTTGATCTTCTGTACATATGAATAACGAGCGAAATGTGAAGCTGCAAGAGAAACCTTCGATTTAACTACCAAATTACCGAGACTATTTACTGTTTGGGTTATTGTTCATGTTTGCATTTTATCCCTTCAACTAATAAGGTCAGGTCGTCTAAGGTCGGGGTTTCAACCTCCTTTTTTTGA